CAGAGGAAGTAAAGGAGGGGAAGTAAAAGTAGGAGAGGGGGCAAGATGGTGGAGAAGAATGAAGGAGTGGGGGAAAGGGGAAGAAGAAAGGAGAGGAGGAAAGAAGAAGGTAGAGAAGGGAGGTTGAGAAGACCGAGGAGTAGGGTTGTTGGAAGTACAGGTGGCAAGAAAGTGACTCCAACTGTGTTTTCTATATTTGTAAGAAGATAGTGATAAATGTTAATAGTTAATAGATAACTTAACAGTACATACAAGAATGTATATTTGTGGATGTATTTGAAAGGGAGAAAAAAACTATGCAAGAAAAGAAAAATAGGAACCACCTTTGGTGGGAAGGTAACAGTGTTTCATGTGCCCTCAGCGTTGAGTCATGCCAGCCACATGACCACCAAGACGTCTTCAGACAGTGCAGGCTCTTTGGCTTTGAAACGGAGATGAGTAGTGCTCTCTAGAGTTGGGAATGACTAGCACATATGTGCGAGGGGAACCTTTACCATTACCTTAAGTCAGCCACTATAGAATGTATATCAAAGTCTTTCTATGCTGAGTGGGAAGCCTGTCTTACCAGAAATAGCCAATTGTTGGATCTTGAATTGAATATTCAAACTGGGGTTTTCCTCTGGCTTCGGAGCGCCAGTCTGTAAATTCACCATCCCTTTCAGAGTAGGCAGCTTCTGAGGGATGATTTTGCCAACATCCCATGTCAAAACCTAAATAATAATCAGAAATATTGATAAAGTGCTTTTTAAAACCATAGTCATGTTGCCCTCTACTGTGTCTTCCAAGTCCTAACAACGTTGTGAAGAAATCATTTCTGTGTATGTGTGTCTTAGTGATCAAAGAAACACAACTAGCCAGAATTCTTTCAACGAATTCTGAATCCCTTGTTTGTATTGCAACTGTGCTTTCACTTCCCCTTCTTTGGAATGGTCACACCGGTGTTGAGATAACTAATAAGAAGGGAATTGATTATATTTATGTTCATTGGACAGGAAGGGATTATGAGATTAAGCAATCACACAATGGGGAATACACATCGAAAGCAATGCACTGATGCTAGCAACCATAAGGGGGCTATGCAAAGAGGTGTATTTCCTATTCTCTGCCTGTGCTCTGTCTCTCTCTCTCTCTGTTGCAATCCCTTCCCCTTCAATCTCTGCTCCTAGGGGTGGAAGGGGAAGGAGAGCACAGGACAATAGGTACTGAATGGATTCTGTGAAGGTGTTGTTAGGTGTGAAGTCGTGTCTGACCCATCACGGCCCCAAGGACCATGTTCCTCCAAGCCTTCCTGTCCTCTACCATCCTCCGGAGTCCATTTAAGCTCACACCCATTGCTTCCGTGACTTCTTCCAGCCATTTCATTCTCTCTCCTCCCTTTCTTCTTTTGTCCTCCATCTTTCCCAACATTAGACTCCAGAGTCCTTTCTTCTCATTAGGCAGCCAAAGGATTTGAATTTCCTCTTCAGGATCTGGCCTTCTAAAGAGCAGTCAGGGTTGATCTCCTCTAGGACTGACTGGTTTGATGGCCTTGCAGTCCAAGGGACTCACAGGAGTCTTCTCCAGCACCAGAATTCAAAGGCCTCCATTCTTTGGCACTCAACTTTTCTTATAATCCAACTTTCACAGCCATACATTGCAACGGGGCAAATCAGAGCCTTGACTATATCCTGCACTTTTGTTGGCAGGGTGATGTCTCTGCTCTTTAGTATGCTGTCTAGAATTGCCAATGCCTTTCTCCCCTGAGAAAGCGTCTTTTAATTTCTTGGCTGCAGTCCCCATCTGCAGTGATCTTGGAGCCCAGGAAAATATCGTCTGTCACTACTCCCATTTCCGTGAAGGTTATAAATGGACAAAGTTATTTATTCATACCGCCATAACTTAGAACAGTTCCTGAATGAGGCAGTCGGTGAAGGAAGCCTACTTGAATTGGATGAATCTCTCCCTCAAGAGGCGCAACTAGTGAAGAATTAATTCTACTGAAGATTGCTTGTGCTCTTGTGGCTGAATGGATAATACTTTCCGAAAACCACACACTTGGGACTCATTCTCTGTCACTCTAACTAATCCCACAATAGACATCACAAGAACGGCAGTTATATTACAACCTGTTGCAATATCTGATGTTTTTGTGTGAAACCGTAGTAGGCTTCCTTTAATATATATCCAGAATTTTCCTCAAAAGGCAGGAGCAGAATAGTCAGATTGTGATTACAGAAAATCAAGTAATCATGTGACAGGGCCTAATTTGAATGAAGGTAGAAAGCCCAGCCCATTGCCAACACCACCATATCCATGGGAAGAGTTTGGCAACTCAAGCTGAGATGCACAATTTGGAGGACAGGACTTTTCATGCCCCCTTCGGAGCACTCTGAGATGGAAGCCTCCATTGGCTGTGGAGCAAACAGGGGAAGGGCAAAATCAGGCTGGATAGAGCAGGTGAGAAGGGGTTCAATGAAGACCAAGGACCACCCTCTCCTCATCCTAGGGAGCGCAGGGAAGAACGCAGAAGAGATTGCATGGCTTATGAGGAAGGAAAGGGCCCCAATACCCTTCACAAGGCACACCTGGGGATGGAGTTTAAAGGAGAAGCAATTGGGAGGAGCCGGGGACAAACGCTGAATTCATTTAGAATTATGGCCTGCATTCCCAGCATTCCTCCTGAGTGCTTGAAGTATTTACGACCTCCTGTGTGCTTATCTTGTCCTGCTGGAATTATCCTTCGCTCCTGGAACTCCCTATCTTGCCCTCCTGGAGTGATTGATTTCAGTCACTCTGCTTACACCCATTCTGGACTAGAGTATTTGCAGGTTTGTGGAAGAGGTTTTCTCCAGGCTGGAGTGAAAGGGATGTTGGGGGCACATTTGGTGTTAATAAAGGGACTTAATACCTGTTTTCTAGCTGTGTTGCCTTTGTGCCATGCCCTGGGTCATCACAGCACTCACCTTAGTGACAGGATCAAATGTGTAGCTGCCTTGGGTGGGTGCCAGGCTCATGTTGAGTACTGCTTTGGGCATATGAACAGTCATGATGACTCCTTCAATTGTCTTCCCCATGTTCTGTTTAGGCCCAATGGTAACATCAAATCTTCCAGAAGATGAATTCTCTTTGAAAGTAATTGCATGCTTCACATACACTGGAATAGCCACCAAGCTAAAACAATAATGAGAAGTAAAGACCCTAACTATTCAGGAAGCATTGCACACCCATTAATCCTTTTTCAAAAGGTAATATATACAGTACAAGCTGGAATTCGTGAAAGTAGCGTGCAATTGGAGGTTTCTTAACCAGGGTGGATCTGATTTAAAGGCTTGATTTAAATCATGGTTTTTAAAGAGCAAGTGTCATCTCTGTCCCACAGCGGCTCTTCCTCTGACCTGCTGTTGACTCACTGACCATCCCATTCACTTTAGTGGGATGGCCGATGATGCGGCAATGACACAGGGTGAGGGATGTGGCAGGCAGCAGGTGAGGGGATGCCTGCTAATAGACACTGCCAGGATGGATCTGAAATGACAGGTGCTCTTTAATATTATATTTATAAGCTGCTTAGGTGGTTTCACTTTCATTTTTACTGCTTGCCCTTCCTCCTCACAGTTAGAGCCTGGTGGTACAGATGCATTTCTCTTCAAACAATCGTGTACAGATTTGCAAAACAAGGGGATGAAAGAATATTCCTGAACTTTGCTTCACGGTTACTGTGAAATTGTGTGAAATGCATCAATGCAGTGCATGTTCTCTCAGCTTGCAGAGCTTGGATTCATTGAATGAGTTTATTAAAAAGGTAAATATTACAGCATATACAGCCTCATGCTACATAACTAAGCTCCATTTCATGCTGACCAAACTAAATTATTAATGTATCTTTTTTACTCCAAAAGCATTTTATTAAAATAAATTTGATAAAAATAAAAAAATCCGATTTAAATAAAAAAACTGATTAAAAAAATTTTTTTTTTGAAAGAAATCATTTTTATCTACCCTGTCCTTAACCCATGGGCTCCCCCTAACAGCCAAGCTCATTACGAGTTGGATTGATTTTCTTACATTCCTTTGTTCTCCATCCTTTTTTCTCTACCCCAAAGTCACCAGATAGAACTGCCACAGCCCCTCTATAATAAAGCCCAAAGAAGATCCATGGAACCAAACACAATATGCGATCCCCAAAACCTGCCCTTTTCTTTGTTCCTTATCTTGGAACACTAATGGAACCTCGTTGGCAAAGCTTCAAATCTTGTGGCCAACAGACAAATCTAAAGAGAAAAGAAAGGGCCACTGGGCTTGCCGGTAGCTGGTACAGGACAAAACGTAACAAAAGTTGTGTTTTTCTACTTGAACAGAATAATTCAAGTGGAAACGTGAAGAAGATAAGACAAAACAAAATAGAAAGCTGCTATTAAAAAAAAAAGAACCCTCCCCCCATAGACGACAAGGTAGACCTGGACTCGTCAAAACCACTGAATCGTGTCCTGAATCATACCGTGTTTCCTTGAAAATAAGACAGGATCTTATTTTCTTTTGACACCCCCCCCCCAACAAAGAAGAAGCCACCCCTGGGGGGGTCCCCCCTTTTTTTAGCCTGGGGGTCTTTAACTTCCTACGCCAAACAGGCTCTAAAGCTACATTACATCCGTGAAAATGTTGCCTGTATTTGGCCGTCACCCGACAAATGCACGAATGACAAAAGCGCGCCGACGAAACTGTGGCGAAAAAACCGCGACATCATAAACGCGCACACAACAACACGCTGACAAAACCGCACCCACAAAAGCGCGATTTAAGTTAAGGTAAGGGTTAGGTTCAGGGTTAGGGTTATTAGGTTGTTATTAGTTGTTTGCTGAAGGCACGCTTTTGTCGGCGCGCTGCTGTCAGCGTGCTTCTGCGCTCATTCGTCGATGCGATTTCAACCTTGCAGTTTTTTTCGCTGCGGTTTCGTCGGCGCGCTTTTGTCCAGCATGCATTTGTTGGTGAACTGTATTTGGCATGTAACTGCAGTTCACAACTGTCGACCAAAGAGATCACTTTGGTGAATTTTTGCTGGCAAGGTTTGTTTTGAGGGCTGGGGATGGTTTACTGTTGGTTTCTTTTCTTTGCAGGAAGTCTTCTGCTGGCCACCCACTCCCCAGAGCAAAAGTACCCTGTTTCTCTGAAAATAAGACCTCCCCGAATAATAAGCCCAATTGGGCTT